TGCTGTGTAACAGCGTTACAAAACGCATATTGTCACGGGGTTGTCTGTGTGTGTGTGTGTTTGTATGTGTGTGCCTGTGTGTGTTTGTTTGGGTGTCCCACATTTTGTCCCGCACTTTCAACTCGTGAACCACAAAAGCTAGGCGGCTGAAATTTTGGTATAGTGTCCCCCACCAACGGGTGACACGGCAAATTTAAATTCAGCATTCCCGTACCCGTGGGTAACACGTAAAGTCACGTGAAATTTTTTTACGGGTGAATTATATCTCAGGAACCACGGGGTTTAGAAGGCTGGAATTTTAGGGTAATGGCCCCCTGCCCACGGTCAACCTTGCCCATTCAAATTCAGCCTTCCCGTACCCGCGGGTAACACGCACGCTCCTTTAAATTTTTTTACGGGTAAATTAGTATCTCAGGAACTACGGAGTCTCGGAGGCTGAAATTTTAGGTTAATAACCCTCTGCCGACGCTCAACCTTGCCTATTAAAATTCAGCGTTCCATCGCTGTTAAGCATCACCTACGGCCTCGTGAGAATTTTGGCGGTTAAATTATTAACTCGGGAATCACGGAAAGATTTTCACCCTTCAAGGTTTCGAATTCAGCTTTCATGCGCTGGTGCTTGAAATTTTTAACCATTTTCCAATTGTTGAACTATTTTTGCATAGACAAAAGTACAAAGCAGTGAAAATTATTAATAGGCAATCGTTCGATGGGCTGAATTACACAAAACGCATGATCGCACCGGCTAGTGTGGTGCGCGTTGCTATTTATTTTTTCATTTCCTACGATTTTCACAGTGTTTCGTCGTCCTTGTGGCTTAGCTGTGCGCGGTATGTGGGCCTCTCTCGTTTCTTGCTTTTCTATATCCCAACCGATTCTCGTGATGTACCATTGCCAGTGAAACGCAAAAAAATCTGGGTATTGCTGAAAGTGCCAGTTATATTAGTCACCAAAATGTTTCAAAAGCGACTACTGCTGAAATTTCGGCTGCGATACGGTTAAGACCCAGAATGTTGTGAGATTCATTGAATGTGGGGATGGGAAAAATGAGTTTTCTGATCGTTCTATGGAAACGAATAATTGATGATAGTTGTGAAATTTCTCGAAATATTTTTGGGAAGAAAAGCATTTTTTTTTTCGGTTGTTTTCCATCAGTCAATTTATTGAATCATATTACAGTAAAAAAACGGAAAATTACGAGAAAGAGCGTGCGGCTATTTCGGACGTAAAGAATATACTCACACGGACCGAAATTAGGTAGATTTAATGACTTTTTATAAAATTCACATACTCAGAATTTAAATATTCTTTGCAATGAAAAGTGAGAGATGTCTTTTTTGGAAAAAATATTGGTTTGAAGATCCCCGATAACTTGTAGTGTGTATTTCCCGGGGATAAGTTAGGTGAAAAAATGTGTCTTAAAATGGGCCGGGACTTGCGAGCTTTACGTAAATCTTGCTTATGCTCCATCTGATATGTATATCAAGCGAATTCCGACACCTCTACTTTGGTGAGGTATTTTGCAGTCAGCTAAGTAGAAGTTTAAGTGCCTTCAGGGAACTAAAATGGAGAATATGCGAGGCGTTTTGCATTTCACCTGATGAAAGTGTGCTCTTCACATTTTGTGGAAGTTGTGGTACACAGTATTCTTGTTTTATCCTGAGATAGCAGAAGATGCCAAGTGAAATGTACTCATTTCCATCCAGGATATTAGGTGGTGTAATTTTTCAGGAAAGATCCGAGATACAACGATGAATTTGGTGAAGCAATCAAAATCCTCTTCGATTACATCGACCATCGAAATAGTGACATCCGTATGTTTAGTGAACAGACAGTGGATTCGATTCTTAGGGTTCGTTCCCGTTCAAGTTATTTCGGTTTAGTTTTGCTTTGAACTTATTGATGGGCTTATTGCTGCCCGTGCACACTCGCTTCTGCCCACCCCCTCCCTCCCCCGCCCCCTAATATACAAGCGCAGACACATATACCGGCATATGCGCTGACAAACAGCCTGGAAGCAAGGACCCATAAGGTCGAGAATGCAAAGCTTGCTATCTGCATTGCTGACCGGAAGATGATACAATAAAGCATAAACTGTTTGCGTTGTCAAAGTGAAATTGAGTGAAGTGTCCGAAGTTCGAAAATAGGCGCTGTTGGGGGGATTTTGCATAGTTTTGCTTCGCTGTTGGGAGACTTTTCTCAGGACGATGCTTTTGGTCAATTGTGTGCTAGATTTAATCTTTCTTGACCCGAGTGCTTTTCATCCAGATTTTCGTTTCATTGCTTGAGAATTTGGCTTCGTTTAACTCTGGCAACGAGGAAATGTTTTGAAATTGCCTGATTTTTGGAGTGCAAAAGTTCCTCATCGATTTTATTTCCATCGCTTTGGTTGTTGGGAAGTGCAGACATGTTGGGTCTACTGATGTTTTCCAAAGCCCGTCAGGTGGTCTTCTCTCTTCGTATATTAGTGGTTTAAGGCGGTAGTATTCTGTGATGTGTATCTCACAAATAAAGCAGATAAACTGATAATAATTGGCCAACT